ACGCGCAGAATCTTGTCATCAGAATAGCATGGAGAATGCGCCTTTTTTCATTGGGGCGGTGTTGGCGGGGAATGCGGTGGGCTTGGATGTTGGTGAGTCTTTTTTCTTAAGCTATGATTGAGTCGTTGGTGAGACTTTGTAATCGACGAGCTTGGGAGGGATGGATGGACGTTTGTGTACTATTGAGTGGATGGGAAATGCACGCTGACGATGAATCTAAACAGCAACGATGAACACCATGGTAGCGTCGTACATCGGTCTACGCGTCATATACAGTTTCCTGTATGTGAAAGTTGAGAAGAACAAGACGAGTTATCTGAGGAGTGGGACGTGGGCTGCTAGTGTGGCGGTGTTGATGACGATGTTTGTCAAGGCGGGGAACAAGATGAACAGGAGTCTTGGGATGTAATGCGGATTCCAGTTCGCATACATGGTCTGCTAAAAGCGGGGATAAAGGGGAAAAAAGGGACCCAGAGACCAGTTAGCGGAGAGGTTTTGGAGAGATCAAACGATTGCAATTTTGGTAAAAGAATGGAACTCGTCGCTAATATCAATGGAAGGAATGTCGTAAAGAATGACACCACATCTACCACCCCTGACATACACGCTCTTCATTCCCAAAGTCCCTTCTCATCAACCGCCCAGTTCAATAACTCACTGCGGCCAAGCACACAGTCCACCACAGTCGGACCCGCCATTCAACGGATCACAGTCGTCCCTCGGGTCATCAACACAGATCTGGCCTGGGATGTCACACTCAAAGCCCGCAAAACCACCACACAGCTTCTCGCTGACACATATACCCAGCATATCGCAAGCAGGACCGCAAGAGCCAGGCGTGAAAGGGTCAGTGATGCAAGTCTGGCCTGCGGGACACTCTTGAAGAGGACTTGCGCGACCTCCGCCACAGATCTGGTTGGCGGGGGTAGCTTGGCGAGGATTGACGGGGGTAGGGATGGGTATGATGCTGGTTGAGAATGTTGTGCTGGCGTCTGGTAGGCAGACCTGTTGTATTGTTAGATTAATTCAGACTTTTTAGTAGCAAGTTGGCTTACTTGGGGTACGGGCTTCTCTCCACCACAAAGCTCATAGCATCTTTGTGCAGAAGCATTCAGGCATTCACATAGCTCAGGCTGTGTCGAGATGCAGTTGACCAGAGGACATTCGCACACTGGAGGAGGAGGGGGAGGAGGAATGGGCGCAGGAGCAGGCTCTGGCTCTGCTACACGAGCCTCGACGGGGATTGGAGGGCAGGTCGAGGGAGGTGGTGCGGGCTTGCCACACTTTGCGGCGCACCTCACTTCCGCGTTGTAGAAGCACCAGCAAGACTGGGGCCACTGTGCGATGCAAACTACGGGCTCGCATTCGCATGTCTCTTCTTGTGGATCAGGTACGGGTTCCGGGACCGGCTCTGGTTCTGCGACACGAGCCTCGATGGGACGAGGTGGGCAGGTGTCGACAGGCACTGGGTTACCACATTTCTCGGCACATGCTGCCGCTGCATCGTACGCGCACCAGCAAGATTCGGGCCAGGATTGAATGCAGAAGACGGGCTCACAAGTGCAAACCTCGGCCTCAGGCTCTGGCTTTGCTTCTGGCACGGGCTCTGGCTTCGCTTCGCGAGCTTCAACGGGGCGAGGAGGGCAGAAGTCAGGCGGCGCGGGACCACCGCATTTCTGGGCACACGCTACCGCTGCGTCGTAGGCGCATCGACAAGACCCGGGCCCAAGGCAGAGGACTGGCTCGCAAGTACAATCCTCGGATTGTGCCTCGGGTGCTGGTTCCGGCACGGGCTCTGGAGCACGAGGTGCGATATCGATACTGCAGTCCTCATAAATCGGCTCTGGACCACCGCATTCCTCAAAGCATTTTCTCGCGTTGTCGTTGCGACAGTAGCAGCCCTCAGGGAAAGCTAGAGTGCAATCGGCTTCCGGGCACCAGATACAGACTTGATCTTGTGGCTCCGGTACTGGTTCCGGTACGGGCTCTGCGGCACGAGGTGTGAGATCGACGCCACAGTCCTGGTAGGTTGGCTCTTCACCACCACACTTCTCGAAGCAAGCTTTCTCACCGGCATTGCGGCAGAGACAACTCTCAGGCCAGGATTGTATGCATACATATCCCTCGCATACACAAATAGGCTCTGGCAATAATGGCGTTGGTGTTGGTGCGGGCGGGGGGCTTACGATGTCGACAGTACAGTCGTCGTAGGTTGGCTCTTCACCACCGCACTTCTCGAAACACGCTTTCTTCGCGTCGTTGCGGCAGTAGCAGCCCTCAGGGAAGGAAAGAATGCAGATAACATCTTCGCAGACACATGTCTCATCCTGAGGTGCTGGGACTGGCGCAAGTACAGGCTCTGGAACGGGCTCCGGCTCCGGCTCCGGGGCGCGAGCTTTGACGGCGTCAATTGGAATACTGCAGTCCTGGTATGTCGGCTCCTCCCCGCCGCACTTCTCGAAACACGCTTTCTTCGCATCGTTTTGGCAGTAGCAACCTTCAGGGAATGACAGGATGCAGAAGACTTCCTCGCATACACATTCGGTGGGTGTGGGCTCTGGCGCGCTAACAGTCGTGGATGTCGGTGCTGGCAATCTAGGGCAATGCTAAATCTGTAATGAGCATTGTGACGTCCTTGGGTGAGATCCTAGCTTACCAGAATACGGGGCTCGTATTCGGGGCATCGCGCCTTACAGTCGTACTCTCGCTGGTTGAGGCACACGCATGCTTCCTGTGACAGTTTTCGTTAACAAGTGGCATAATCTGGTTCAACAAAAGGTTGCATACCAATGCAGTATCGCCGGAGCAGTTAGGTGGTGGGCATGTCGCTACACAGCTGTCTGGCGGCGACTCCAATGCACGCCCAAGGGCGCTTCCGAAAAGAGGAAGAAGGAAGAAGAGCAGCTTCATTGTCAACAAGAAAAAGACCACTAATCAATAAGAATGCGGTGGTACCGGAAGATGTCTTCGAGGTTGAACATTGAGAAGGTAGAGATCGGACCGGATATATATTCGGAAAGCACGTTGGACGCCCTGAAAGCATACTTGGTCTCACCTACCAGCGTAGTCATCTTACACTCATCGCCAAGGAAGCCTATAAGACATGTCAGAGTCTCAGAGTGGCCTCAGGAGACCAGACGACGCCTTCCGAAGCCACCAAACTTTGTGTTCTGGCGAACACGAGTTCACAGCTGCCATCCAAGCTCTTGGCGGTTCGTCCTAGGCATGCGCGTTCCGCTATGTGATGATGCTGCATTTTTCGTATAAGGAAGTACCCTCCAGCCACTACCTAAGACAAAACCAACAGTGTCGTCAGACGGGGCGACGTTTTATTTTCGGTCAAAAATCCGGTAATTGCGCAATGATGTTTGGATGTTTAAGCTCATGCTAGGGAGCAAGCGCGAAACCGTGACGTGAGACCAAAATTAGCACTAATTCACTTTCCGCGTAACCGGGTAGCATGAATAATGTTATCGATTGCGGGGTGTAGATCATGATAGAAGACGCCTTCGGATCCAGGCACCGTCGCACGTTGCAATTGGAGTCAGCTCTCATTTGCTTCCTGTTGGGTGGGACGGCATATTGATTGAACGGAGGCTTTTGCGGCTGAAATACGACAATTCTGTATGGGTATATTAGGTACTGTATATGCGTGCCGGGTATTCAGTCGAGGGTTCCCAGGGTTCCGTCTCTCAGCCGGGACGTCGTACGCCCTTCCATTCGTCTTGCCTGTCGCAGGGTGATCTCACGTGGTGTGGCCGCAAAGCACATGGCAATTGGCCAAACTATGCTGATGGTGAGGAATGTCGCGGCAGGCGACGAATTAGGTCTGCTGCTCTCGAGGCTCAACGATGAGAGGTCCACGGATGAACGAATTTGGCAAAAGTGACGGACGGATGCGAGAGAATGCGGGTGATTTGAAGCTCAGGGATGAGCTACGCGGGCCGCTGACGCCAAGGCGCTAGGCCGTCGTTCTTGCCATGAGCCTGGTTATGTTTCCGTACTACGTCAGACGACGCTCACCTTCACAGGCATTGGTCGTACTCGAGTACGCAGTGCAGCAACAACATGCGAAGCTGAGGCTCTCGTGTAAGAAGGACTAGTCAATACGACCCCTACTGAGCTTTCACTAGGCGGAGCTTCAGCAACTGTAAGGAGTGACTTATCGATTGAGTAGGGTGCGTAAGTTGTCTAAGGCTATGCCAAGTCGTTCTCAAGCGAGCCACTCGCTGACGTGTAATTATGTCTATGACCAATGCAAGCTCAGATGCAACGCCGGTGTGCTTCCCAGGGGTATAGGCCTTCAATGCAACCAAGAACCATCATATGAAACCGTAACTCATTAATAGCGAAATCACCTATTTCTGTCAACGTCTTCAGGAGGAGACCGTCGCTGAAGGCCAGTCGTCGTTCGGACTGCGTCGACGCCGCGCCAGACTACAGTAGAAACAGACGAAGCTAGCTCACGCAATGAGGGACCCGCTTCGGAAGCTCGCGGGATCTCCCCAGAGGTGCGCCGAGAGTTGTCCCCAGACCAGCCGGCTTCAATATCGTCATCACGCGGAGATGGATCGGTGGGTCCAGATCTGGACATGGGTACAGGTCGCGACGCGGAAGGTGACATGTTGCGAGTCTCCGCAGCTTCCGTCTGTACGTCTTCTTCGCTGATAGATGGTCGGGGCGAGCGCGTTGGTGATGCTGACTGTAGCCGATCGTGCCAGCTTCGACTCAAGGAACGTACAACATCGCCTTTGCAGATGGGGCAAGTCCTCCGGCGCGTGACAAGCCAAGGTGTTCTACTCACGTCAGATCGGTTATGTCGATAGGATGGAAGAAAAACTTACATGCAGTCCGCGTGGAACTCATGGCCACACGGTAAGCTCATGACCTGACTGACACCGTCTACGTACTCTTCCAAACAAACAACGCATTCTCGTTGACGGCCACCATAGCGTCGTCTCCACGCCGCCAGCCCAGATTCTCGCTTTTCTTCTTCGCGGTCACGAGATGCATGCTGCACCGATGTCGACGTGGCGGGAGTCTCTGACACGGTAGTCGAGCGCGATCGAGATTCGGGAGATCTAGAACGTGTTGCAGAATGCTGAAGTAAGGGAGTAGTGGGTGAAGCAGCGCTAGATGTTGCCGCGGACGAAGAATCGCTTATTGTCTGATAGGTCCTGACAGGCAAACGCTCAACAACGGATTTGGGTGCCCTCCAACGGCGACGTCGTATACGAGATCTAAGAAGAAGAAGGGCGTACACGACTGTCAGAGTGACCAATGGGCTGACGACGAGTACGAGTAGAGTGTCGAAGAAAGGACTACTTGAAACATTCGTGGGCGTAAGCGTGACCCACAGGCCTTGGTGAGCACTAGTCGCAGACGAGGATGTTTTGATAGACGCGGAGTGGACGTCAATGATCGAGGTGATGCTCCTAGTGCGCGCACGACTAGATGACGCTGAAGACGCAGTGCTGTGTTTAGAGCTAGACCACCAGCTCCAAGGGCTCTTCACACCGGTCTTTGCCTTGGCTGGGGTATACTCACCACTGCCAGGCAAGGCATTGCTACCTGCTTTGGTACTCACTGGAGTTGCGCTAGCCGTTTTTGTGAATGCGCTTGTAGTTGCAGTGAGTGGCAAAAGGTCAGGATCGCGCCAGTCGTGTTCGCCGATGACGAAACCGTCAGCGAGTTTGGTGGGACTTGTCGTGGGCACTGGCGATTTTGTCTTGATAGGGTTTTGGTCATCTTCCCAATCACTGACCTCGACCCATTCCAGGTCACCGCTATTGGGAAGTCGTCGGCTGCCAGCCTTGGGAGACTTGTTGCTTAAACCATGACCGAAGAATGCAGAGAGGAATGAGTGCCAAAAGCTAGAGCGCTGTCCCTCCGCAGTCTTCTTTTTGGATGGCAGCGAGTGTTGCTTCCCGTGAGCCGAAGTCTGTGCAGCTTGTGGCGCTTCTGAAAGAGTCGCATGACTTTCAGTGTCCTTGACGCTGGCATGAGAGGCTGCAGAATCTGAAAGCATGCCGTCTCCTGGGTAGAGTGAAGACAGGAGATGCGCGGTTGTGTGCGAAGTAAACAGGGACGGAATCGTGATATTAGAGGTGTCACCTTTGGCGTACATACGAACGAGGGCGCCGCCACGCACGTCGTCACCAACGATGACGGCCACTCCTCCACGCGATTGTGCCCATTGAACTTTGGCCAGGAAACCACAACCCCCTCGCTTGAGGAGTACAACCTTGCCAGCAATTTCAGCACTCTCTTGTAATGATTGTATATCGGCGTGTTTGCTTCGTGGCAGTATGTGCGTGCTCGGAAGCCCCGGTTGCAGGTGATCGTCCGTTCCATCGTCCGCAACGGCGTCCTTGGTGTTGTCTTCGCCAAGGCCAGGGTCTCCCTCTTTCGAAGGCAAACTCCTGTCCAGTGTGGTGTCCTTTGATTTTCCTTTGGAATAGCCCGATGGCCGTGAAGCCCGCATGAGGTCATCGTTGCCATCTTCCCAGCCCGGAACGTCGCTGCAACCCAGCTCGCCGCCGGCGCCCATGGAGTCATCTCCAAACCCGCTACCGATCCATAGAGAGCCGCTCAAGCCTCCTTTGGGTAGCGCGGGGCCGAAGGCAGCGGGTCGGGCGAGGAAGAAGGTCGAATTGTCGTCGGTCAAACTGATAATCGCAGACGGCGGGAACAACGAGCTGGGGAATGGGGAGGAGAACATGGCTTTGAAACTGCCTCGGCTCGATGCAACTGAGATGCGTTCCTGTTCTTCATTCTGCGATGTTCCCACGACCATGTATAGGAGGAGCGTGACGGCGACCAGGCTCGTAGACAGCGAAAGCAGTAGGCGGAGAGGGCGCATGCTTGCGGAAGCAGCCGGGCGGCGACAGGAGGAGGTGAAGAAGGGAAGAACAGCAAGTAGTGCTGGATTTCTAGGAGTGTAGAGGCATCGACTGAGATCAGGAGACAGACGGGATGTGGTCCTGTCTAGGGTCACGCGGGCGAGTGAAGGGCAGGAAGCGATGGATGATGCGGCAATAAACGGACGTCAAGGTCGTCACTACTCGGGTGGCGCGAGACAACGAACGGCGCACATGTGCAGGAAGAGCTGGCGCAGCGATTACAGCACGGGAAACGCGTTGGAGGCAGGCGATAAGGAAGCGCGTGCTCCAGAGTGAAAGGCTGGTGGGCGCCCGATGATGTCGTGATGCGAGACCCTGGTGCAATCGGGGCACGGGCAGGACGGCCAGGTGCGCGTGCGCGCGACGAGTGCCAAGCATGCCATTCCCCGCACTCGACCATGCTAGAACCGTCAGAAACACCAAACACCACGTCTGTTTTGTCGTAATGGTCCATGGCTTCACTTCACATTTCGCGATAGAGCGCCTGATGATGAGCGACGCGTTGTTTGGGTCTGCGTACCGCCTCCTCTCGCTTTCGTCCAGAGCGTGCCGACAGGAAACGACTAGTTTGCAGAGATCCTGTAGCTCTCAGAACTCATCGACTAGATTGGCATGAGGAGAAGATTGAAACGGCAAAGCTCTGTGGTAGGAGCTCAAGCTTTGCGCAAACAGTTGCACTCACCCTTTCCCAAAGTTACACACGGCCGTCACCCACCTGACTTTGGCGGACATGCTCACCTCGTCACATCTGTAATGGCGAGAGTGGAGGTGAAGTAGACATGGATAGACAGTGGACAAAGGAATACTGCCCAAAGCGATGGCAATTTCGATGTCTCCCAGGTAATATTGCTGGAGATGTCGCAGTCACCTAGACTCTGATCATGGGCCGCTCCTGCCTCGTCAATCATCTGGGCCTGCTCGCGACTTCTGCTTTATGACAAGATCAGTTTCGACTGGAAAGCACCCCGTCAACATCACCTTCACGACTGCCTGCGCTCTCTCCTCGCCCTTCGTGTCGTCACGCTGCTCCCATATCTTGCCTCGTTCGACTTCCCAGCCTACACGCCTCTTATACCCTCAACTCCTCTTATACCCAGCCCTACTACCAGCTTCCATACCTCTCAGCAGCCCTTGTCCTACTCATATCATTCCTAAGTCTCATCTGCTTGGCTACCAACCTCAGCTCACGAGCCTATCACCTACGACCTACTTTTACGCACTCGCACATGTATGAAACCCGTTTGTGGCATCCATCAGTCCTCAACTGACACTGGTAACCTCTAGCTGCCCCCTCGGAAGCGTCATGGTTCTGCCAGGCATGAAGTCCAGATACACCGAGGACCCCAATCGACCGGGCGAGCCACGCCTCGCTAGTTTCGGGTGGCTACCCAACAGAGCTCGCCATCTCTTCATCTCTTTCGCGGGTGAATATGTCGGCACCTTCCTCTTTCTGTTCTTCGCCTTCGCTGCTACCCAGGTCGCCAACAATCTCCGCGGTACCAGGCCCATGGACATTGGGTCACTGCTGTACATCTCGTTGGCATTTGGCTTCTCGCTGGCAGTTACGGTTTGGGTCTTCTTTCGCATCAGTGGCGGCCTCTTCAATCCTGCTGTATGTACACGCAAGCTCCTTGGGAGAAGTTGACACGCTGATGAGGCTAGGTCACGGTCGCCATGGGTATCATCGGAGCACTTGGATGGATGAAGGCCCTACTGCTAATCATTGCGCAACTTCTTGGAGCCATCACTGCCGCTGCAATCGTATCTGGTCTCTTCCCAGGACCACTGTCCGTGAACACGACCCTCAGCAAGGAAATCTCAGTAACGCGAGGCCTTTTCATCGAGATGTTCCTGACGTTCATGTTGCTGTTGACCATCTTCATGTTGGCGGCAGAGAAGCACAAGGCGACGTTCGTTGCGCCAATCGGCATCGGCCTTGCTCTCTTCATCGCTGAGCTGGCCGGTCTGTACCAATTTCGAAGTTTGCAAATACATCAATGCTAACAAACACAGGTGTATACTTCACTGGAGGCTCACTGAACCCAGCGCGCTCTTTCGGACCTGCTGTCGTCACCGGTGTATGGCCTGGACATCACTGGATTTACTGGATTGGACCCCTCTTCGGCGCTATCCTAGCATGCATCTTCTACCGTCTGATGAAGATGCTCGAATACGAGACTGCCAATCCCGGCGCAGACCACGATGGCCGCGAAGTTTACCATGAGCATGGAGCTGGTCGAAGCTCTACCCATTACGAGGCCACATCTGGTATGTTCCCATGCTATTTCTGAAAACACTACTAACCCCTCTGCAGCTCGTCAGGCGACCGATGGAACAGACGAGTATGACTTTGCGAAGCAGCTGCGATCCGGCACCAGACAGCCTACCATGACCCAGCGTCAAGCAATGCCTTCCTTCGGCACCCTCTCTACCTCCACAGGCCACACTGAGAAGCCAGCGGCACCGCTGCCGGTACATATGCAGACGTTGGATGGCCACCGCTCCGACACGGTCAACCATCCCGAAGATCGTCCTCGCGCCCACCACAACCGCGGCTCGTCGTCGTACGAGATGACATCCGACTCGAGCTACCGCAATGGACCGAGTGCAGAGTCGGGCAGCTCGGAGTCATAGACCGGCTCGTCGACTAGCTCGAGCTCAGGGTCGCGCCGTTCGCCGAGCGCATAGGATGACAAGCAGCCGAAGAGTATATTCGGTAGCGCCTTGTATTGGCCTTGCTGTTTCCTGCCACATTTCATACTCCAGGTGTGTTTTTGTCCACATACGTGAGAAGCTGTAATTGGGTGTCGCTGCGTTGCGGGCTTGATGGAAGGGACTGGGCATGGTGATGGTTCGCTACCTAGGGGATCTCTTCTATTTCTTTACAAAATGACACAAGACTTGACATCACTGCGTGCGCATTGCAGCGAGCCGTGAGTTTTCATTAGTGTGAGTGGCTTACACTGATTGCGAGTGGACGCTCATCTTTGAGCTTGCTTTGGCTCGGATCCGGACGCTCATATCCGAGCCCGCTCTGGCTCGGATCCGGGAGCAGCATTCGACTGTGACTAACAAACTGCCTCATTTAGACTGCGTAGACATCTGTCTTTAACCTTGTTAGCCCGGATCCGAAAGTGCTTGCTTTGGCTCGGATCCGAAACCAGCCATCGACGGCTTTCGATACATTGCCTCGGGTGGACGCCTACCCTTAGACTTGCTTTGGCTCGGATCCGAAAGCTGGATTCAACGGCTCTCGACAAACTGCCTCATTTGGAGTGCGCAGACGACTATCTCTAAGCTTGCTTTGGCTCGGATCCGAATCACATGCCGCGTGCAAGCCTTGGCTTCATTGTGCCGCAACCATCGTTCTCGGATCCGAGACCAGCAATCAACGGCTTTCGACGAACCGCCTCATGCAGACTGAGTAGACGCCTATCTGTAAGCTTGGTTTGGCTCGGATCTGAAGCCAACAATCGATGGCTTTGGACAAATTGCTTCGTTGGGCCCGCTTAGACGTCTAGACGCTTACGTTGTCTCGGATCCGAAGTTATGGCCAAGGGATTACCACTGCGAGGGTGACTCGGATCCGAAAGCGGTGATCGATGGCTATGGACAAAATGCCTCCTTTGGACTCCGGAAATGTCTATATGCTTGCATTGTCTCGGATCCGAAGCCAACAATCGACGGCTTTCGATGAATTGCCTCATTTGAATTGCGCTGACCAACGAACAAATCCTTTCGGATCCGAAACATGAGTTCCAACAAGCTTCGCTACGCCACTACGTAGAACGCGAATGCCCATGATGTCTGTTTGACCGGAGACATAGTCTAGGCCGTGTAAAGGTGGACGGAGTGATCAGGTACGAGCGGTCGATCGACCTCCGAACAGTCAAGAAGCAGACATTGCACGATCTAGAGGTACGCCGAGGCGCAAGGCTCCTCTACTGATGGCTTCCACCGGAATCAGAATTGCATAGGTATGTCGCAAGTGTTTTACGCCCCTCTTCCCATAGAGTATTGGTGGAGGGGTAATTGACAAAGCGTTACTCTTTCGCCGACTGAGGAGAGTTGATAGAAGATGGTCTACTTCTCCACTCGCAGTAATTGCGGCGATGATGTCGTTGAGTACCTCGCGCTGAGCGCGGGTCCTCAAGAGCTCATCTTCACTTCTCACATCACGTATCCCGGTACTCACATGTCATGCGCAACATGGAAAACTTGATTGTATTGCTATCCACTTTAGTATATACAGCCCTTTCCACCGGGTATGCGATTGCGCCGTTGCGCGCCTCGATCGCTGAGGCGGTGGTCGTTGAGCCGCGAAAGCTGTCGTGATTGTGTCGCGAAGGCTGTCGTCGTTGCGTCGCGTGCGGGGTGCGCGGTATGTGAAAGACACCGACCAGTTTATTGAATCAGAGATGCCGTCAAAGCGTCCGTTATGTAACAAGGTGTGTGTGCCGGACGCGGAAGTCATGCAACCACATCCAAATCTACCAATGAACCACTTAAGCCCCCGAAAGGAAGAGTTCAAAGGCGGATGAGGAGAGCTGCTCAGCTGATACACGCTAGGCTTTCATCATCTGGCAAGTTTGTTAGTACTGGCGCAAGAGGATGTGCGACAGCAGGGCGACTTACGTGTTATAAACTGGAGGGATAGCGAGAGGAACTGGGTGTGGGCGCCGGAAACCTTTTGAAGCTTCTGCAGCTTGGTCTGGGCGGACGCTAACCTGCGTGGGGCTAGTGGCAGGTACGGCTTGGCGTGTTTTCGAGATTTGGCTGCGCGCTCGTTGGAGATATCGCAATCGCCCTGATACCTGCGAGAGCTCGATCGCTCGCTGCAATACACTATGAGTCTTGCACGTGTTTCACGAAGTGTGCTGAAACGGGACAACGGCTTGCGCAGCTCCTACGCAGAGATTTCGCGGTTTTGTCGAACACCCCATCACGGGACCACGCCGAGTCGTGCAGGCCTATGTCTGAGGCACGCAACGCGAGGCTTCGCGACTTCACGGACACGCAATCAGGATGAAAACCTGCAGAAGACTCTTGATGACTTCAAGGCCACCAGTATGACTCCATCGACATATCAAATACATTTGCTCACCAAGTCGTAGTTCGACCATCCTCATGGAAGGATCTAAATGATGAATGGAATAAAGCCACTCATAGTCCTCCAGGCACGGAAGTTGAGGTCTCCGGTTATATCAGCGCACGGCGAGATATTAGCAGCAAACTCTCTTTCACGATGCTTCGCCACAAGAACCAAGGAGTATGTGTCCAACTCGTCTCTAAACCTCTAGACAATGAAGCGGATGGACCGGACGCCCATAAAACCCTGCGGTTGTTGAAAGAGTGGACTCCCGTCATAGTCCGAGGAAAGCTAGTGGAGCGTAAAGGGGCCAAGACCGACACATTCGCCGGTATGAACCTGCTCGGTACCCGGGAGATCGCTGTGGAGCACGTCCAGCCATTGAACAGCATATCGGATGATATCATCATAAAAGATGACACTGTATTTGGCCCAGACCAAAGGCATCTACAGCTTCGCACAGACTCGAAATTGCGCGACGATCTCTTCCAACGATCGAAAGCCATGGCTAGAGCAAGACTGCACTTGAACCATTACAATTGGAAGGAGATCGAAACGCCTATACTGTTCAAATCGACTCCTGAAGGCGCAAGAGAGTTTCTCGTGCCGACACGGCAAAAAGGATTGGCATACGCGCTGCCTCAAAGCCCACAGCAATACAAGCAGATACTCATGGCGTCGGGCATCACGAAATACTACCAATTTGCTAGGTGTTTCCGAGATGAGGATCTGAGGGCCGACAGGCAGCCAGAATTCACCCAGGTCAGCACTACCATTTCTCTGATGAAGACTCCGCTAACTGGAACAGCTCGATATGGAGATGTCTTTCGCTAACGAGGAAGACGTCATGCACGAGACAGAAGCCCTACTGAGAGATCTGTGGTATAAAGTCCTTGGAATAAAGAAGGAGAAGAAGTTTGCGCGAATGACCTATCAGGAGGCAATGGCTGCATATGGATCTGATAAACCAGACCTAAGATTCAAGGCAAAGGTGCGTAGCTGGCGCTACCTAGCTGTCTCATCAAGCTAATGAGTACAGATTCACACCATTACGGAACATCTGACAGCCGATTTGATTGGCAAGATTACTTCTTTACAAGATCCAGTCGTCGATGCACTCAAGATACGCATATGCGATGACCCTAAAACGACCCGCAAGTTCGTCGCCGACTTCCTTGACAGCCCGGACGGAAAGGTCTTCCTCGACAACCCCGATGGTCAACCGGGTATCTTCATCGGTGACCTTTCTCAGCCCATGCAAGGCCTCGGACCACTAGGCTACCAATACGTGATGGAGGGCCCGGAAGCGCTGGCGGTGGAAAACGGCGACCTTCTTGTCCTCCAGGCACGACCCAATGCGCCCTTCTCGGGCGGCTCGACCATGCTGGGAAACTTGCGTCTTGCTCTCCACAAAGCAGCCATAGCAAAGGGACTGATTGAAGCACCTAAAAGTACTAAGTTCGTCTGGATAACAGACTTCCCATTGTTCACCCCGTCGAGCGACAGCGAACCGGGCCAAGGTGGCTCAGCTGGCTTCTCATCAACGCATCACCCGTTCACCGCACCGAAGACACCCGAAGACGTCGACTTGCTACTTACCTCACCCTCTTCCGCCGTAGCAGCACACTACGACATCGTTGTCAACGGCGTCGAGCTTGGCGGTGGCAGTCGCCGTATTCACTCCGCCGCGATGCAGGAGTTTATCTTCAAAGACATTCTCAAAATGAAGCCTGAACGCGTAGAGGACTTCAGACATCTGCTTGATGTGTTGAGGAGTGGCTGTCCGCCTCATGCAGGTATCGCACTGGGATGGGATCGGTTGATGGCTGTCATGTGCAACAGAGATAGTGTGAGGGATGTAATTGCGTTCCCGAAGAGTGGGAGAGGAGAGGATCAGCTGGTGAAGAGCCCGAATCGTATGACGGAGGAGCAGTTGGAAACATATCACTTGAGGTTGAGGGAGTAGGGTTGGAAAACGGTGGGGTATGGAGATGTACGATAAAATCATGTGTATACACCTAGGTATTATCATGGTAGATACCATGAGAAGACTCCTATGATTGGAAATAGTAGTCGCATAAGTGGTGTGACTTTACTCGTACCTGGTCGCATGTAGGTCAGGAAGCCGCTGATTTCCAGCAATCACGACTTATCCACGGCCATAGTACCTACATACCCTGACAATGACCCCTTGTCTGCCCATGAGGGCTGCAGGGCGAATATTACTGAAATGCAGTCATACACAGAAGGAGTATGACGAGCTGACGATCATGGCGAACGACCAACGTCGAACCCGTTACACGACATTACTCTTGGCGCTTATCTCGGACCAAAATCCCTTCTGTGGAACTATTGGCAGATTCGTCATGCTTTGGAGCGACGTTGCGCGCGAGATAGATGCATGTTTGCACTTTACCCTGCTTCCTATCATGCTGTGTTTGCGGTTAAATCCGTGAATGAACCACAACGCATGGATGAGCTGTGCAGCTCATTTGACCGATCGCTACCCTCAGAGCCATATAAAAGCGTGCCTTAGCTCCCGGCTAGTCGCGTAACGAAGTATACAGTGTCCTTTGGCTGCATTGGATACCTAGGTGACTGCATCATCACGTGCATCATCGACCCTCTTTCCACGTGCATCATGGCGGAATCCACGTACAAGATCCCAGAAGAGTACCAGTCACAGCTGAAGTATGTGGCGTCGAAAGACAACCGTACCGATGCCGAGATTCTGGATTCCTTGACGAAGCATGCACCCATCGCGTCCGAGAAGAACATTTGGACGTTCTGGCATGCCGGCGTACAGCAGATGCCAACATGGACACAGCGCAACATCATCAACTGGGTGCGACTTCACGGCCCTGAGTGGACGATTCGCGTGCTCGACACCGCACCAGACTCGCCAAACCACGCGTTGACTTGGATATCGACCGACCTTCTTCCGGAGACCTTCGTGAAGGGTACGATGACGGGGCCGTACGTAGGTCCTCATAGCGCCGACTTCCTGCGTGGCGCAGCACTGTACACGTATGGTGGCGTCTGGATGGACGTCGGATGCATCGTGTTGCGCAACCTCGACAAAGTCTGCTGGGACCAGCTTGGAGACGACGACAGCCCATTTACAGTCGCTGCGCCACTGGTGTATGGACAATTCATGGCGAATCATGTCGTCGCCTCCCGAAAAGGCGACGAGTTCATCAAGAACTGGCGCGTTGTACCCACTCAGCCATGATTCATCAGACTGACTGTGAAACAGGCACCTGATCTTCCTGGAGCTCTGGAAGGGACGTACCGACTTTACTGGCGTGGTGCAGTCGCCTCTCATCAGCTTCATCAAGCAGATGAATAGCAAGGATCTTCAAGACTCCGGATTTAAATGGGAGTGGAAAGTCGACGAGCAGACTCTCATCGGATACATTGGGCAGTGCCTCGCCTGGATACGCTTGACGTGGCTGCAAGAGCCTAACGGTGGTTTCGATGGCGTCACCTACTGGGCTGAGAAGGTCTTGCTGTGGCATGCGCTATCTGAAGACTTTCCTGCTGAGCACACTCTTGGCTTCGATATTAGCGCAGACTTTTTGAAGCTTTTGGCCATGAGCGTGGGTGCTGACGAGTCCGACGCGGTGTACGAGAAGGCGAAGAAGGCCACGTGGGGGATGTTGACGCAGAGTGTGATGCAGAAGATCACACATGGCAAAGGGCTGGGCGAAACGATTCATATTGGCACGTTGCTGGACCTTCCGGAAAATGAGGGTATAGATGCTGCGCCTGGTACGTTGGCAGGGCTGCTGCGATATGGCAGCGTGCATCTGGAGCAGACGAGGGATATGCCGTATATCAAGGCCCCTGCGGTGGATCCCGAGTTCATTCTTCACAAGGGATTACTGGAGGCGTGAAATGGACATCCGCCGAGACAGTGCTTTGAGATCCAGGCGGTCGGAAACCAAAACTCTTTGTCGTATAATCTGAAGGTCTTTTGTTGAAGTTGCAGCCTTGACAAGGCGAGATGGGCGCAGTGCGAAGCATAGCCGTCCAGGCTTCCGCAATCAAACTTGAAATCAGGCATGCGCGAGGACGAGCGTCCAGCTGCCAGGTCGCAAGCGGCAAACAGTCTGTGCACCCACGTATGACATCATCTCTCTCTCCTTTGATGACATGTCCCAACCTCCTCGGGTGTATCCTTGCGTCTCCTTTCTACTTCGCCTCCGACCATCTAGATTGACAATTTCCTCGCGAAAAGCAGTCGCCGGATCCCAATGAGTCGAACCTCGGCAGCCCCGTGTTCGAAGATAATGCGCCACAGCGACTGCGCCACAGGTTCAGCCATAATGCTCTTCTAGCTTCGATGACGGCCACCTTGATGCGCACGCCCAGAACACGCTTCTCATCGTCGCTGTCATTCTTGCCCCGCTGAGATTACTGAGCGGAGGGTGTGACGAGATGCGCACGACATAAGACCGAACAGGCGCTTTCCAAGACAAGGCAGAATCTGATGAGTGCAGCTGGTCAATTGTGATTGGACGTCATGTCAAGTTAGCCTGAGGCGGCAAAGCATGTCTCGACGGAGACATGGAAGTTTCATCGGGCATATGCCCACGGATGAGACCTTCCAAAGCATGTTCAAGAGATTCAGACGGCGATGTGCGATCCAAAGTTCTATCGGCCTAATCGATCATGCTATCGGGGTTCTGGTTCAAGGTGCCCATGGGAGGCGAGTCTCTACATGGACTATCGACAAGGTCCTATACGTCTACGTCCCTGTCACCTCGAAGCGACACGAGCAGAAGGCTGAATACCTGATCTCTTGATGACAGCCCCAGGCAGAGATGTTGTATAGGTAGGCTGGAGCAGCTGAGAGTCGAGTAAGCTAAACCAAAGATGGCTAAGCGACGAGCAAAGCCTCAGTGGCGCCACCGTGGCGCAGGTTAAGCCCTGCTAGCCTCGTCCTGATCTGCACGTTGGACATCGAAGCGACACTCAATCGTGACTTCAGACTATCGCTTGTTCCTTCTTCTCACCTTGTTTCTGTTTCAACAGTCTTTGTGCAGTCGTCCATAGCGATGTGATGGAAGCGGACGCTGAGGGCCTCCGCGCTTCATTGCGCTCGGATGGGGTTTGCACTGCCCCCTTCCAAGACCACCGGACTTCTTGACAGCCGCTCATCTCGCTATGAACGCCGTTAGTGGCCAAAAGCATCAAATCTCGCCTCCTTGGCGACAAGTCTACAGCTCAACCATCGAAGCGACGTAGGCGGAGGGCTGAGTTCTCGGTCATTCTACCAAGTGTTCGATGTGTAGATGTCACCTAGGCCGCGAAGGCAAAAAAACGCCGCGGAATGATCGTTCCTCAGGAGGCTACTAGGTGCCAAGCGAGGCTCTGGCGGAGTACGTATCACATCAGGTAGACCAATATCGCGCACCAAGCGCCTGGCAGTCTTGGGGTGGCCCACACTTACACAGCCCGCTTCAACCTTGAAAGAGTATATGGCAGCTTGAGAGGCTTCCGTCCTCCGCCTTGTTACAATCCAGCTCTTATACTGTTATCACATAGTTTCTATTTCTTTAAACTACGATCATCAACTGCATCTTTCCAGCGGTCCATTTGCATTATCACTATCATACTTCAAATATGGAGTCCGGCAAACTTGCCCCTCCGACACTCCAAATCAACACGCGACAGCGTGCTCTGAGTCAGGCAGACACGGTCACATCACAAACATCAGACCCCTTCCGGACACCAATATCACCAAGCAATGCGTCCACAAGTGGTGCATCGACGGTAGTAGGAGACTACGATGCAGCGTTGCAAAATGAGTTGCGCGCTGAAGCTAAAGCCGACACGAACAACCCCTTCGCCTTCACACCATCACAGCTCAGCAAACTGTTGAACCCCAAATCGCTTCCTGTATATCAAGCATTGGGAGGCATCCACGGTATCGCAGCCGGACTACAATCAGACACTCATTCCGGTCTGAGTGCCGACGAATCGACAGTTGCGAGACACATTTCCTTCGACGAAGCAACAAATCCACAGACACCTACAAAGGAGAAAGAATCAAGTCGACCGCCAAGTGACGGAAAGCCCTTCGAGGATCGCATACGCATACACGGACGGAACGTACTACCACCGAAGAAGGTCACCCCTCTATGGAGACTTGTCTGGAACGCGTACAATGACACTGTACTCATAGTTCTTACTGTTGCAGCTGCCATCTCGCTAGCACTCGGACTCTACGAAACGTTTGGTGCGGAACATCCACCGGGATCTCCCACACCTGTCGACTGGGTCGAGGGTTGCGCAATTGTAGTAGCTATGGTCATCGTTGTACTCGTCACCGCCGTAAATGACTGGCAAAAGGAAGCAGCATTCGCAAAGCTCAACGCGAAGAAGGAACAACGCGATATCAAAGTCACACGATCGGGAAAGACCGCTATGATCAGCATCTACGACGTCCTAGCCGGCGACATCATACACCTGGAGCCTGGCGATGTCATTCCAGTCGACGGAATCTTTGTGGATGGCTCCGACGTCAAGTGCGACGAGTCTTCTGCTACGGGAGAATCAGACGCCATGCGCAAGACACCAGGTGCCGCTGTCATGAAAGCACTTGAGTCCGGTCAGTCCACCAAGGGCCTTGACCCCTTCGTCATCTCCGGCGCAAAGGTTCTCGAGGGCGTCGGTACTTTCATGGCGACATCTGTCGGAGAGAATAGCAGCTTTGGCCGCATCATGATGTCTGTCCGCGTCGAGATCGAGGAGACACCACTACAGGCGAAGCTCGCTAAGCTTGCCATGGCTATCGCTTACCTCGGAACTGCAGCTGCTGGTCTCCTCTTCTTTGTCCTTCTCTTCCGTTTTGTTGGTGGGCTATCTGGTGATACCCGATCTGCATCTCAGAAAGGTTCAGCGTTTATGGATATCCTCATCGTTGCTGTTACCATTATCGTGGTAGCAGTCCCAGAAGGTCTCCCACTAGCAGTCACGCTGGCGCTGGCTTTTGCGACGACCAAAATGCTGAAGGAGAACAACCTTGTCAGAATCTTGCGCGCATGTGAGACTATGGGCAATGCTACAGCCATTTGCTCAGACAAGACCGGTACTTTGGTAAGTGCTATCTCTCGATTGGACACGAACATATGCTAATACCTCACAGACAACAAACCGAATGACGGTCGTTGCCGGCACTTTCGGCACCACCAGCTTCGTTCACGCGGACGCCGCCTCAGAGAAGGACCAAACCATTTCGGCATGGGCATCTAAGGTCTCGGCTGCTGCAAAGCAGCTTCTCATCCAGTCCATCGCAATCAACTCTACAGCTTTCGAAGGCCAAGAGGACGGCAAGTCTGTCTTCGTCGGATCCAAGACTGAGACTGCGCTACTTGAGCTCGCCAAGGAACATCTCGGACTCGTCTCGCTGTCAGAGACCCGCGACAGCGAGCAGGTGGTACACATGTTCCCCTTCGACTCGGCTAAGAAGTGCATGGGTGCCGTTGTGAGGCTTCCGAACGGACACTACCGCCTCGTCGTCAAGGGTGCATCTGAGATCCTCCTCAGCTTTGCCTCTGCATTTGCGCATTTCGAGTCACTGGAGACAGAGTCGCTATCGCAAGAGCACCGCCAGGTACTGACCGAAGCGATCAACGCATACGCGAACCGATCTCTCAGGACTATCGGACTAGTGTACCGCGACTTCGAGCAATGGCCACCGGTCAACGCCACGCTCACTGAGGGTGGCAGTGTCGACTTCGCCTCCCTGCTGCGCGATCTTACATTCTTCGGGCTAGTTGGTATTCAGGACCCCGTTCGCCCTGGTGTGCCCGAGGCTGTTCGCAAGGCACAGAAGGCTGGTGTCACGGTCAGGATGGTTACCGGTGACAACATGCAAACTGCGCGAGCGATCGCGACTGAGTGCCTGATCTATACCGAGGGCGGGTTGGTAATGGAGGGACCAGACTTCCGCCGCCTTACTGAAGAGCAGCTCGATGAGGTGCTGCCGCGACTACAGGTGCTGGCCCGCTCATCGCCTGAAGACAAGCGCATCCTTGTTCAGCGTCTCAAGACCCTTGGCGAGATTGTCGCTGTGACCGGTGACGGTACCAACGATGCCCCAGCACTGAAAGCAGCCAACGTTGGCTTCTCCATGGTCTCTGGCACTGAGGTTGCCAAGGAAGCCTCTTCGATCATTCTCATGGACGACAACTTTGCCTCCATCATCACCGCGTTGATGTGGGGTAGGGCTGTCAACGACGCCGTCCAGAAGTTCCTCCAAGTAAGCCATACACGATCTTCCAGTTCATTCCAGCCAGCTAACAAACGTAGTTCCAAATCACTGTCAACATCACTGCTGTGGTCCTCGCGTTCGTGACCGCGGTCTACGATGACGAGATGAAGCCAGCCCTCAGAGCCGTACAGCTTCTTTGGGTCAACCTCATTATGGACACCTTCGCCGCCCTCGCCCTCGCTACCGACCCACCGACTGAGAAGATCCTCGACCGCCCACCGCAGGGCAAAGGCCCTCTCATCACAACAACGATGTGGAAGCAAATAATGGGCCAGAACATCTACAAGATCACTGTCATCTTCGTGCTATACTTCGCTGGCGGCGACATCCTTGGCTACGACCTCTCCGACCCCAACAAGCAACTCGAGCTCGACACCGTCATCTTCAACGCTTTCGTCTGGATGCAAATCTTCAACATCTTCAACAACAGGCGTCTGGACAACAAGCTCAACGTGCTCGAGGGTGTATTCAGGAACTGGTTCTTCATTGGCATCGTTGTCATGATCATCGGCCTCCAGGTTCTCATCGTCTTTGTCGGTGGTCGCGCATTCCAGATCAAGCCAGGAGGTATCGATGGTACACAATGGGCTATCAGCATCGTCGTCGGTTTTGTCTGCATTCCATGGGCAGTACTCATCAGATACTTCCCCGATGAGTGGTTCGCTGCCATCGCGCGTGTTGTCGGCAAGCCTGTCGTCGTCGTGTATCGATGGTGTTGCACGGGTATGAGCAAGGTCAAGACCTTGTTCACCTTCAAGAAGACGAAGAGTGAGGAGAGCGAGGCTGAAGCTGGTGCTGCGCCAGCGATCGTCGTGGTCGGTGATGACGCGAGCGTAGCTGAGAACAGGAAATGAACGTAATGATTGGATGGAGGCATTAGACTGCGCATTTGTACAACACTTAGTTTAGATGAGACACGATACCCTAGAATTTGACGTTTTTTATTTGCATCCTTGCGATCAAGCTATACTCGTGCTATTTGAAAGTGACTGTAGGAAGGGGACTAAAATTGAGAGTATGTAGCAGTCTGCGTCATTGACCGCATACCGAAGTAACATGACAGAGAAGCGTTTTCACTAACGTTACACCACCCAATGTTCTCTAGACGCGCTGCTCATTTTGCGCATGACTGAAGAGTCGTCCCGATAAACAAGACTGAAGCAGTGTCTTGATCACGTCGATCTTGGCCATGTCAACCTCCTCCATGGTCCTGCTAGACCGTTGGAAATAGTTGTCGTCTCTGTCGCAGGCTAACAAATACACAGCTTTGTTCTTTCCCGCTTTCCTGTGTTCGACGAACTTCTTCAAGAAGGAGACCTCAGCAAGCTCTAAGATATCCAGTCCATCCTTCGACTTGACTTGAGGCTTGGCGCCACTTCGAAGAAGATGTAAGACTAAGCCAGCGTTCTGGTTGCGAACGGCGGTCTGCAGTGGGGTCTCACCCTCCCCATGCACTGCTTCAATGTTGGCCCCCATCTCTTCAAGGATCTTCAGGGTGTTCTGGCTTCTCCAAACTAGCACAGCTTTGTGAAAGGGCGTGTAGCCTGATTCATCTCTGGCTTCAAGCAAAGACTCCTTTTCATCCATCTGGCTCACGTACGAGACGATGAGTTTGAACATGTCTCGATGCCCGGAGCCGGACACGGCGGTGTGCAAGCTTGTGTCTGCTTCTGCTGCGAACAGAACCCGCTAACGCTGGGTGTCAAGTAGAAACCGTGCGTTCTCGACGTGCTCCGCTGCGACCACTCGACTGAACAATGTCGAGCCAACGGGGTTGAGCTCTGCAACCTCTGCGCCTTGGTACCTAAGGCTCACTGGGAATCTTTTCCCCCCAAACCTCGCTACCAGAGAACTGACTCCAAAAGCCATGTCGGAGTGGAGGGCAGGCTTATGGTCGCGAAGCAGACCGTCGTTTGATAACCCACTGATGAACGTACCACCTACGCTAACAGTATCGCTTGATAGCGAAATGGAACAATGTAAGTGAGTAGAAAGGTACTTAGCGGGTGACCCCGGTGCGGGCGATAATCAAGCGAGCTATGCGTCATACTCGTTCTGCTGCATACGGTAATTTTTACTAGGCGCGTATCGCTGCTGCCTAAAACGCGTGATACTACGTCACATGATGAAGTTGGCCCGGCGCCGCAATGTGCGATTGGCCTACTTGACGTTACACAGTCCATTCGAACTTTGAGCAAAACGACGCTGGAGCCCAAACTCGAACCCCGCCTTACCACGCCTTCTCGAAAATGGCGAACAAGATATGCCACTTCTTCGTCGCTGGACGTTGCGTCAACGGGTCGACGTGTCGCTTCCACCATCCCGATACGGTCTCCAACCCCCCCTCCTCCGAACGCAAAGCGGAACCTGTTACCCGTTCGCAGTCGGGCGGCTCTGTTCCAAGAGCGAAGATACCTTGCAAATTCTATCTCCAAGGCACATGTACTAAGGGACACTTCTGTAATTTCGAGCATTCAAATCCGACCACAGTTACATCTACAGACTTCCGTTCTGCATCGAGGGATACCAGGCCGAGTATACAGTGTAGGTACTTCCAGAGGGGCATCTGTAATATGGGCGAGCAATGTCCCTTCAGTCATGAGATTCGAGAGAATCTAGGCATGCCGAAGACGCTGTCGGATCACACGCCCATCAAAGACGTCGGCCTCACTGCACCCAGTTCGGCGCGCGCCGATCCTTCCTCCAAGGAGCATGATGAGACCGAAATACCAAGGACGATCGGAGGGGCTACCGTGGAGTTCGCCAACGGTGCATCTGTTTCTAAGATCTCTTTGATATCGGACTTCTCCGCCGTGTTCACATCCGACCTATCGCCACATACATCTGTACAGGATCTAGTCGACTTCTTGATCAACAGGGGCTTTCCCCAGGTGACTCACGATTGTGTTCCCTTCAGACACATCCCTGAGAAGCTCCATAAGACAGCTGTGATCAAAGTCCGTGATCCAGGCTTCGCCAACAAGCTTCTCCAGTGTCTTCAGAACACTCCGGTTCGTCTTGGGGATTTCGAATTTCGCGCATCGAAAATGCAAGTTGCAGGAGAGACAGCATCCGGAATGAATCGGCTTCAGCTCACCAGCGTAACATGTTCATGGTTCAATCCTTCTAAGGTGGCTTATCTCGAATATGACGCAGACTGGAAAGCGAAGCGGGCGCTCGAGCGCATGGAGCGCCCGAATTCAAATGAATTCCAGGGCCGGAAGCTCGATGTCACCTATCAACCAGTTCGGTCTTTGCAAATAGGCAATCTAGACCTGAACACGAATGAAGCGGGACTTCGACGCTTTCTTCCTTATCCACCGCCCACTAAGGTGACTTGGGGACCTCATTCTCACAATCTCACTGCGAAGCAACTAGAGGAAAGAGCTATCACGCAACTTCGATCGCACGGTACCCTCATCGAAGAGTGTATTCCTCATCCCCAAAAGGGAGGAAGTAGAACGAAGATCATCGCCAAGTTTAGCGAAGCAGAGGCAGCACGAAATGCGGTCAAGAAGATGCACGAAACTATTCTCGATCCCAGCTCGAACAAAAGATGCAGGTCACTCCTCTGGTTTCCATCAAACTGTCGGTCTCCTCTCGAATCCTAGCAGCCATTGGACCACAGCTTGACCCTCTAGTCGACCAAATATGGCGAACGGATTACGTTCAAATCAAGAGCTACAAGACTCTGGGCAAACAATACACCCAAGTCCGCATCTTCGGCCAGTCCAGAGAACCAGTTGCCAAAGCCAAGTCGGCCGTGGAGAAGCTCCTTGCTGGTCAGATCGCCACCGACGGACATGGCCCGATCACAGATCCATTCTACTTCAGGCCTTCGTCAAAGAACTTTCTGAACGATCTGGGAGCCTCACATGGGGTCTTCATCCACCAAGATTCACGTCGATCAGTCCTTCGACTATACGGAGATCACATGGGTATCGAACGAGTCGAAAGTGCTCTGGTGGCTAAGTGTGCAGAATTGAGGGAGCAGTCTCACACCGTCATTCTTCATCCCGAGGCTTTGGCATTTGCCCTCAAAGGTGGATTTCGAAATGTTGTCGCCGCTTTAGGGAAGGACAAAGTGAAGCTAGACATCATCAACACCCCAAAGCGAATTATCGTCGAAGGCTCCGCGGAAGATGCGGTCCAGGTACAGAAGATTCTCGCATCGTGTACATCGTCTTCATTGGAAACGCAAACCGCCGGGCTATCCAACAGCGAGGACGACGGCGAGCTACTCTGCCCGGTCTGCTTCACCCCACCGGAAGACCCTATCAAGACGTTTTGCAGCCACGCGTATTGCAACTCCTGCTTGGTTTCGCAATGCACGTTTGCCGACTCTTTCCCGGTCAAATGTCTCGGTGAGGACGCTGTTTGTGACGCTCCATTGTATCTCTCCGACGTCAAGAAGGTTCTTTCTGGAACGGAATACGATGATCTTCTCCAGACATCCCTGACGTCATACCTTCGTAGCCGACCCACGGAATTTCACTACTGCTCTACACCCGACTGCGATCGTTTCTACAGGATCTCAAGCGCTGAGAACCCTCGAATCTTTGATTGCGACGGCTGCCTCACTTCCATCTGCACTAGCTGCCACCAAGGACCCCATGACGGGCACACTTGTGAGACCAACAAAGCTCTGATGAGAGCTGCCATGGAGGAAGACGAGAAGCTCACGAAATGGAAGAAAGACCATGATGTACGAGACTGCCCAAAGTGCGGGGTGCCGATCGAGAAAGCGGATGGTTGCAATCACATGACATGCACCTCGTGCCAGGCACACATCTGCTGGTTCTGCATGAAGACGCTTAGCAGCGGAGGCGAGACGTACAACCACATGCAGAGCGTACATAGCGGTGTTTAGATGGCACCTTCAGAACTCGTCCTTAACCTTGTACTACGGTTATCCCGTCGCAAAGTAGAGAAATAAGATTAGAATAAAGAATATACACGTAAAGCTCTTATATACCTAGAAGCTTTAGAAAAAAGCTTTTAGATTAATCTTCTAAACAATTAGAAAAATAACTAAAAGAATAAACTACTTTACTTTATATTTATAAGCCTCTTTTTTTAAAAGAAAAGTACTTAGTAAAGTTTTATTAATAAAGTATTAATTCTATAGTTTATAAGCTAGTTCTAAAAAGAAAAAGTCTATTACTAGTATACTAAAAAATATATAACTAGAAGTTTTACTTACTTTTAAATTTATAGTATTAAGTAAGCTAAAATTTAAACTTTAGTACTACTACTTTTAAAGTAGTTAAAGCTTTTAAATTTTTTAAGCTAGCTAAAAAGCTATTTTAATACTAATATACTTTAATAAAGAATCTTAACTTTTAATACTTTAAGAAGATTATAATTTAATTATATATACTTATTAGCTTATAACTAATAAAGTAATATATTTTAAAGCTTTATAGTTAGAATATATATACTAAAGTCTTAGTAAAAGCGCGCTTCTTCTATTTTATAATTAGTAAAGTTTTATATAATATAAGATAAAGCTTAGCTATTTTAGTAATCTACGCTTTACTAAGTAGACTAGCGTATTTATTTTTATATATAAATATATCTTAGAAAAAAAGTTTCTTTAATTATTATAATTACTTACCTAATATATATAAAAAGTATAATAAATTAATCTGTTTATTATATAATATAATTCTAGATAGGTTAAAGCTACTCTACTTCTAGCTTTACTATAGATAGTAGCTAAGTTTCTTTATTAGTAATAAAGAATTCTACACTATAAGCTAGTCTAAGAAATATAGAGTTTAATAGTAGTATTTATAATAATATAGTTTTAAAAGCTTATATTTAAAAATATAGATATAAAGTATACTATAGCTTTAATACTAGAGTTAGATATATATTACGCGCTTATAGTAGACTACTATACTTATAGCTATAAATTATCTCTCTATATCTAAAAGAGAGAGCTTAAAGAGTACTTCTTTAAAAAATTAAATAATTATATTATTATATTATAACGCTTAACTATTTTAGACTTTAAAAGTAAACTTTAATAAATCTTTAATATAAGCTTAGATTTATAGCTTATAATACTTATACTTATACTACTACTAATATAATATTTACTATATATATTATTATAATAACCTAACTACTTTAGATTTATTAAATCTTACTAATAGCTATATAAACTATTAACTAGATAAAGTACTAGTTTTATATAATTATAGAAGACTAAAAGAAAACTAAGTAAGTTTATTACTAGTATAAAGACTTTAGAATAACTTAAGATAACTTAAAATACTTCTATTCTACTTATATAATTATAAGTAACTTGTATTATATATATAAAAAACTTTTAAGTTTAGCTATATTAGTAGCTATAATATATAACTACTATACTTACTATTTATAATTACTATTACTTAGCTACTTACTTTTTATTTATACTAATAAGTTTATAGCTTTTACTATAGCCTTTTATATACTCTACTATTTGTTTTTTAGTAGTTTTATAGTTATATACTTAATATAAAATCTAAAAAGCTTTATACTTCTATATAATATACTAATACTTTAGAGTAAGATTAATAAAGCTTTATTATATTACTATTAGCGCTTAACTATTATAAATCTAGAAGTCTAGAGCTTTAAGCTACTTATACTTTAGTACTATAAAAATCTTTTTAGTAGTTAAGAAGTCTAAACCTAATAGTATAAATAGTATACTTACTATATAAATAGTAACTACTATCTACCTCTTATAAAAAAGTCTATCTTGTATTAGTTTAAGCTTAAGAATAATATATATATATATATAAAGTAGTATATAATACTTCTATATAGTTAAGAAAAACTATACTTCTTAATCTTTAGCTCTAGCTACTATAATTATTATTAATTAGCTTATTTAATATAGTATATCTTATAATTTATAAATATAGATAATATTTTAAAAACGCGCTAAAATTAGCTATCTTAGTAGTAGCTATAGTAGTTGCTTTAATAGTAGTAATAAAGTTAAATATTAATTTTTTAAAAAAGATATTAGTTTATATTAAGTTATAAAAAAGTAGTACTTAGATATCTAAAGTTTATAAAGATATAAGAAGTACTTAGTCTTTTAAGACTTTAGAGATAGAGCCTACTATATTATATTTTATAATATTACTCTATATTTTAAATACTTAATTACTTTTTATAATATTAAAGCTAAGTCTAGACTTAAATATCTCTTACTATGTACTTATACTTTTTATTTTTATATTTTTATATTAAAAACTTTAGATTCTATTTTAACTTATTTATTACTACTAATAATATATAGATAATATCTAGTAGTACTACTATATTATACGTAGTCTCTTTAAAGAAGTAAATACTATAGCTACTTTTATTAGAGTTATAATTACTTAAAAGCTTAGAAGAATTCTAAAATTAGAAGTAGTAGTAATATACTTATAGTGTAATAAAAAAACTATAGTTATCTAGTAGTCTAATAAATTAGCTCTTATATATTAGAATAGCTTTAAAAATAGTTCTAATTCTCTTCTAGACTATTATAGATTCTACTATAAGCTAATTAATAGGCTATATATATATTAATAGTCTATAGAATAATTAGTATTAAGCTAACTTAACTATTAGTTTTACTCTATTATTTAAATTCTCTATATTACTTATATTAGTACTATAGTAATTAATTATTATTATTATTATTATTATTACTATTATTATTATTATTATTATTATTATTATTATTATTATTATTATTATTATTATTATTATTATTATTATTATTATTATTATTATTATTATTATTATTATTATTATTATTATTATTATTATTATTATTATAAAGAATTATAAGTTTATATACAATCTACTTAGAATATAGAGATAGATTAAAAAATATAACTTTTTAATTACCTTATTCTAGATTATAAGTATAGAGTAAAGTACTTATTATTACTAAAAATATAGAATTTTTAATAAAATAGTAGTATACTTTAATAAGTAAAAGCTTAAGACTCTAAAAAAAAAATAAAAAAAAAATAGAGATAGATAGATTAATAGTAAATAAAGTAAGAAGTATCTCTATTTTAATTCTAAAAAGCTTCTTTACTATAGTTAAGATCTATAGTATCTAATTCTAGTACTAAGAAATAAGAGCTTAATAGTATATAATATTTTTTTAATTAAGAGTATACTTAAAATCTTTACTAGTAGTAATAAAATTTTACTAGTAAATATACTATACTTTAAACTAAACTTTAAGTACTATAGAGTTACTCTTTTTCTTTTTTTTTTCTAAAGTCTTAAGCTTTACTTATTAGAGTATATTACTATTCTTTTATAAATCTATATTTTAAGTAATAATAAGTACTTTAATTTAAACTTATAGATTATAAAAAAGTAATTAAAATAGAAAATCTAGATTTTTGTAAACACTATTTAAAGCTTTACTAAAGTTCTACTAACTAGTGCTAAATACTACCTTTATAACTAGGCGTACTAAAGCTAACTAATATACTACTATAAAATAGTATCTAAAAAGCTTATATACTATTAGCTATATAAGCGTAGTAAAAGAATATCTATATAATACTAAAGTATAACTTTAAATATATTATATCTATCTAGTAGTAATATAATTTATTATATATATATTAGTTAACTTAGGTAAATTCTTAAATACTTTTAAAGAAACTATAGAAGTAGAAGAATTAATAAGCTAATACTATATAATATAGCTATATATATTTTTATAGTTATAGAGAGTATAGTTAAAGAGATATTTATATATAATAATAAAAATTCTACTATTTTTATTTTTTTCTTATCTAAAGTAGTAGTATTTAACGCTAGGTAATACTTACTATATTAAAATAGCGCCTATAAATACGCGTACTTAATATTAAAAAACTTTAAAGTATATAACTAATACTACTCTCTTTGTAAGTACTATTACTTACTTTATACTTTAACTTAAAAAGGTTTACTATTATTTAAGCTTCTAAAATATTTTTAAGCTAAACCTAAGTTATCTTAATTTAATACGTTATTATATAGTATATATTATTAAAAGTATCTAGTATATTAAGCTCTTAAGATACTTTATAAATGTAACTAAAAGTAGTTTTTTTTAAAAGAAGCTAGAGAATTTATAAAATATAAAGTAGTATTTAGCTAATAGTTACTATTTAAAGCTTTAGTAGTAGTAGTAGTAGCTTATTTAGTCTACTATAGCTAGGTTAAGTAGTACTCTATTTATAGACTTTCTAAGCTTTTATACTTAAGTAAAGACTATTATTTAATTAATATATAAAACTTTCTTTAGACTTTCTCTTTTAGAATACCTTCTTTAGATTAAATTAGCTAACTAATATAAATATATACCCGCTTATATACGCGCTTATAATAAGTAGCGTTAATAATATATAGTAAAGAATAATAATAAAAAATTAAGAAAAATAGTAGATAATAATATAAATTAGTACATTAGTAGAGTATATTAGTAAGAAAGAGAGAAAAATAAGTTTTTATTATTATTATTAGTAGTTATGTAGTTATACTTATAACCTTATTTAATATACTAGTGTAGAAATATAAGTATAACGTAGTTAAGTAATATAGTATATAATTATAATATAAGTGTATTTTCTTAATATCTTATTTTATAGTATATAGTAGTATATATTCTTTTAAAAGTTTTAGAAATTAAAACTAAGCTATAAAGTTTAATACTCTTTAATCTTATATAAAAGTATAAAAGTAAAAAGCTAGAATTTAACTTAGAAACTATATAGAAAAAAGTATAATAAAGTATCTACGCGTTTTATATATCTTTAGAGAGATATTTAGAAGTTATATATATATTTTATTACTCTC